AAGAAGTTGTATTCTGGTCAAGACAATACAACCAGAGTATATCAGYTSTATCAGGAATAYTTTAATCTGCAACAGGGCAATCAGAGTCTTGAGGAGTACTATGCTAGTATGAGAAACATCCATAATGAGTTGAATGTTTATCACCCCCTCACTTCTAATGTCAAAATTCAGCAACAACAGAGAAAACAGCTTGACGTGACTCGATTTTTGATTGGGCTGAAATCTGAGTATTGAACCAGTACGGGCTCAAATACTAGGAGGGTCAGCTCTCCCTTCTTTAGAATAGGTGTTTGCTCGACTTCAGAGGACTTCTATTAGATCTACTGAGAACTCTAATTCTCAGATAGATCAGCCTTTGTAGTGTCAAGGGGTCGTGGTGTTAGAGGTGGAGCTCAAGAAGCTCAGTCTGGCCGTAGTGGTAGCAATGGTCCGATATATGGCCGGAGTGGTGGTGGTGGACCTACATATAACCGTGGTGGTGGTCGTACTGGAGGTAGAGATTTAGGGGAAGCCCGTGGTAGAGGACATGGCTCAGGTCCAAGGAGGTGTACTCATTGTGGTATGGATGGACATACCATTAATTATTGCTATGACTTTCATGGTCCACCCTCAACCTAGGCCAATCATGCCATGACTAGTGACACCAGTTCTAGTTTCAGAAAGGAGAATTGTTCAGCTGATCAGATGCCTCCTACATCCACAGATGGTTCCGGGAAAGAGATTGTGAGTGTTCCCCGTGATAAATGAGAGGTTTGTCCAATCCACATCTCAGCAGAACACGGCTACTTTCACACACTCAGGTATGGCTTATTTGGCATCCACACCCAATCCCTGGATTATTGACTCTGGAGCCTCCGATCACATGACTGGAACTCCAGGTGTGTTTTCTTCTCTCTCTCATTGCTCAACATCACAATCTGTTACCCTTGCTAATGGTTTCACATCCTCCATTTGTGGTGTTGGTAATGTTRACCTGGACCCTACATCCCTATCCTCAGTTTTGTATGTCCCTAAATTTCCGTTTAACCTTATGTCTGTTAGTAAGYTGACCAAGTCACTTAATTGTTCCATTACCTTTTACCCTTCTATGTGTGTTTTTCAGGATCTCAAGACGGGGATGAAGATTGGTGGAGGGCATGAAGCTGGTGGATTGTATTATCTTAATGGTAGTGGAAGAACATCAACAACTCTCTAGTCATCTCTCTCTCCTCTCTAGTGGCACTGTTGATTTGGTCATCCTTCGCTGAAAGTTTTGAAATCTTTGGTTCATTTGTTGAGTCAACTTTCTGTTTTAGATTGTGAGTCGTGTCAGTTTGGGAAACACCATCGTGTTCCCTTTAGTTCTAGGGTTGATAACAGTGTGTCGAGTCCTTTTTCTTTGATTCACTCGAATGTTTGGGGTCCTTATAAAGTGATGTCATACAATGGATATAGATAGTCATTTTTGTTGATGATTTTTCAAGGATGGCGTAGCTCTATTTAATAAAAGAAAGAAGTGAATTATTTACCATCTTCCAGAAATTTTATGTTGAGATTCACAATCAATTTGGTGTTCACATTAAAATTTTTCGTTCTAATAATGGCCGTGAATATTTATCTTCATCATTTCAAGAATACTTGGACCAACATGGCATTATACATCAAACCTCATGTACCTACACCCCACAACAAAATGGGGTGGCTGAGAGAAAGAATCGTCATCTCTTGGAAACAGCAC